AATGCTTGGTGTCCTGACTATCACCTTTGAAAGGAATTGTAAGAGGTTCATATATCAGAAGGGTAACACAGTGTACTCTACATATGCAGCAGAACTAATTTTCCTTTTATTAATCCCATTAAGCTGAAGGATTTCCACTGTGCAGATCACATGATATTTTACTAAGAAGTATTCCATCCTTTTTCACAAGAATTTTGTTCCTCTGTGACACCTTTTTCCAAAACAAATTGAACAAAAAGCCTGTTTTTGAAAGACCAGGAGCTGGAAAAGGCTCTGTGGGGAGGAGCTGCGTTCCTGTTTCATATCCAAAATACCTTCCCTCGAGACTCATACTCAGTGGATTTCTAGTCTATAAAAGGGGAAAATGTGGACATGTGGAAGACTATACCCTCCTCTTGTACCTGGCTATAGTCTGGTGATCCAGGGTGCCCTGCTGGACCCTGCTAAGGCACGGTGAAATACTGCAGCTGACCAACGCAGAGTTTGCATCTGTGAACCAGCAGCTGCACGTGTGGACACAAGAGGCAATAATAAAACGTCTAGAAGACTCTTCAGTGTCAGCTACATCAGTTTGTAGGCTGAGGAGGTTGCACTCTACTGTGTGGGATTTTTTCACTCATTCTCCTTCAGACATGGCAGGGGTGACCAGTTCACTGCAGCTGAGAGGAACTCTGTTGTATATATGAGAAAAAGAAGGGTATGCAGTTCTAGGATAGATATCACTTGGATTAATATTGAAAGTGCCACAGTCTTCAGATAGATTTTCTATTGCTTCTGGATTCAGCATCAAGAAGGCTCCACATATTTAACTAACCTCTGGGGTTCAAGAAAGAAATAAAGTCTTTTACTTGAGTGAGATTAACATTGTAATTACCAGTCTCCAAATTCCATATGAAATTATTGTAATTAGTTTTCATTTCTATCTAAAGACTGCCTGCTGCATATGTTCAGTACTGATTTACCTAATCACTGTTCAGAATAAAGCACTACAAAACTTGTGTCAAATGTTTGCAGTACATCCAGTGTCAATCTGTTGTCCTTCACTCAACCTCCAAGAAGATAGGAACAGAAATTGATAGATTCATTCAGGACATAGTTTAATATATGAAAAAATCAAATCTGTGACTGAATTGCCCTTTTGGACCACATGATAATAGCTGACAGTTAAGGAGTATGTTACTAGTTGGTAAATATATAGAGTGAGTTCAATAATATATCTCCAAAGAAGGGGCCATTTTAACTGAGTATTCCTTGGTTCTTCAGATCTGAAAGAACTTAGAAAGAGAATTCTAAATGGGAATGTGCAACCTTTCATACATATTCCTTTCTTCTCATACCAGAGAACAGCACAGTGCCTATTATGGATTTGGAGAGACTTCTGTTTTGGTTATTGATGTTCCCAAACCACAAGTAGCCTTTAGTCACAAAGATTAAGTGGTTTCACCAGTTGGCTTCCCTTTGTGAGCCTCTAATGGTCTCTGATTTATCTTAATATCAGACAGTTAGTGGATACACTGGTTCACATCACTGAAGGCACTGAGGAGACAAACTCACCAAAACCAACAAGAGATGAGTCCTTGCAGGCATCTGGGGGTCTCTGCTGCTCTTCATCAGACATTCTGATACATGGAAAGAAGAATGCAATATGTAAGAATTCATTTCATTCTGTCTGAGAGGAAACAGCCTGCAGACATCTTTACTATCTCAATAGCTTCAGTGATAACTGAGTGTCTGGAAAACATTTTATATGCCCCATCATTGTCTGATCTGTTTTGGAGGTTGGGGTTGTAGTTATCCAGAGCTGTCATCACTGTGGTGTCCACTGTTTCTCCCATGGGTCTGGGCACTGCACATGGGGTTGGCAGCTGATGAGCAGCTGAGCAGTCTGTACATAGGCAAGGTGGACTAGTTGCCTACAGTCTGTGCAGCTTCTCTGTGTCTCAGCACTTACTCGTGGTCTAGTAGTTGTAGGTATCCAACAAGCCATATCACACTTCATTGCTAGTGCTGTGCTGGTTGCTAGACTGATGAAAATCTCTGTTAGACTGCCTCATTTCTCTTTTTCTGCTTAGACAAGACTTACTGAAGGAGAAAAGCTGAGATATCACTCTCAGATTTTCCAGATCATGAAAATATTGCAGTGCAGGAGCCATTCAATCCAGCTCATATCCATCCATTTAAATGCTGATCAAAACACTTAGTGCATTCACATATGTTCCCAGAGAGCTCCTTGTTGGTGCCTTTGCCAAGGAGGGCTATCCCATGAAAGCACACAGGAACACTGCCTCAGGCAGAGACCTGTCTGCCTCCACCTCCCGACTAACACTAAGGTACCCCAGCCTATGCAAGGCAAGCTGATATTTCAGATAAGAAGCTGTTTCAGTTTACAAAAGACCATGAAAAACTCTGGTTCATTTTCCATGTCTGCTTCTTCTCTCTGCTTTTGGAAAATAATTCTTATTTCCTACTAGCAAGTGCAGACTAGACAAATATTTAGTCTTGCTTTGTTAAGCTGCTAATCATAATGAATTTTAGCTTTTACTAATGGTATCTTAGATGATCTAATATACTAACACCTAGCAAGTGAGTTCAGATAAGGTGTTAGGCTTATGACATAGCCCAGTTTGAAGGAACCAAGTGTGAATGGAAACCAACGAGCAACAACACAAATAGGCCCAAATAGCCCACGGAGGGCCAGAAGGTACAGCTGCAGGTAGAGCTGTGACGTAACCTGTCTCTGTGAACCCCTTGAAGCCAGCAGGCCAGCTTCATGCTTTTGGTATAATGGACATCATACAGCCAAAAAGGAAGGTTATGCCATAATCCCTGTTCCATTCAGCAATTGGATTTGAGTGTGCTAGTCCTGTTTCCTAGACCCTTCCAGTCCTATGGAAATTTAGAAGTCCTAATGTAAAACCTATTCAACTTGCAGCATATGAGAAGGAAATATCAGAACAGCTCTTGCTAATGTGAGAAATGCCATTACAAGGTACTGTACTGTTCCACCCATTCTGGCCTCTGGGCTGTGGCCAAGAAATTGCATGGGAGGACATGGGAAAACCTGTGTGGGAGCTTGTGTATAGAAATGTATTTGTACTGAAGGGCGTTGGCTGTGACGGAGAAAGTGAGCATAGGCGAGGACTTGCTCAGATCACCAAGCTACTCCACCTCACCTTTCAACACAGCGTTACTATCCAATGATGGGTAACTGGCCTGATGGAAAAAAGCAAGCCACAGCTGGCTTTTGCAGGCTGTTGCAAACTACAGTGTGATGCAGTCTCGTCATCTCATCACTTGCTTAGCTGCACAGTCATTGCCCACTTCCTGTTCCCAGCACTTTATAGAAGAGAACTGGTACATCTAAATGTTTTGCAGTAGCAGGAATTGTTTTGGGGGATGAGCAGCTGGTTTTGAAACTTGAAAAACTCTGCACACAAGCGATTGGCCTGGCTGGAAAAGCAGTGCAGTTTGGAACCTCGGATATTTTACAAGAGCAAGTGTACCAGAAGGCCAAAGGTATCCTGGGGTGCATTAAGAAGTGTGTGGCCAGCAGGTTGAGGGAGGCGATCCTCTGCTCTGGTGAAGTCACATCTGGAGTACTGTGTCCATGTCTGGGCTCCTCAGTTTGAGAAAGTCAGAGAGTTACTGGGGAGAGAGTCCAGCAGAAGGCCACAAAGATGACTGGGGTCCTGGATCACCTCCCTTATGAGACAAGACTGAGAAACCTTGGACTGTTCAGTCTGGAGAAGAGAAGCTGAAAGGAGATCATATCAGTGATTACAAATACTTAAAGGGCAGAAGTCAAGTGAATGGGGCCATGAGCAAAAGTCCTATACCAACAAGAGGAAGTACTTCTCTACCTTGAGTGTGACAGAGCACTTGAACAGGCTGCCTGAAGAGGTTGTGGAGTCTCCTTCTCTGGAAATACTCAAAACTCGCCTGGATGCTTTCCTGTGCAACCTGCTCAAGGGAGCTTCTGTAGCAGTGAGTTGGACTCAATGATCTCCAGAGGTCTCTTCCAACCTTTACTATTCCTAATGGCCTAGAAAGGTCAGAATTTGCACATATGGTACAATGTTTTGAGGCAAAGTAGTGAAGCAGATTGCAAACAAGTTCTAAGGGGATATACAGAGCAAATCAGAGAAATGAGTGGAGGAATTATGTCAGTATAAGAGGCAGGGAGAAAGCACAGTTTGGAAGAAGTAAAGTAGTGAAAGGTATTAAAAAAAGGCATTGAAAAATGGCTAGGACTCATAAAAGCAGCAGAAGAAAAGATGGAGAATGAAATGGGAAAGGCAATATACAGAAAGAAAGAAAAAGATAGAGGCATAAACAAATGACTAAAAGACTTTAGAAATACATGGAAAGGAAAAGCAAACAACAAAGTGAATGCAAAGGGAACAGAAAAGAAGTGAAAAGGAGGAATATATTACTGAGGAGATCTGATACTGTGTGCAGATTTGTGCTTCCCATCTCTTTCTTTGCATCTCACTGCATGCTGGGGACATAACACCACGTGATAAGCCTCTCTTGGACTCTTATTCTTAGCTCCAGTGATTTAAAGGAATACCCCCTGGGTGGGGATTCCTGTTACAGATCAAGGAAATCTTCTTACTCTAATTAAAACTCTTCCTCACGCAGAAAGCTGGCTCTGTACCTGAACAAATACTTACTACCTGTAGGCAACATAAAACTCACACATTTCTTATTCATTTGCTGTATCTCTGCAAGCTAGCTCAGCTCTGAATAAGGGATCTCTAAATCCTAGCAAGAAGCCTGCACACTCCAGTGTCCAAGTCCTGACACCACCAAATTCAAAAGGAACTACACACAGCACTACAGCCATGGATCTCCAGTGTTAATGCTGTTTTACAGCTAAGGATGACTTGGCTTTGCAGTCAGGAGATGTTTTTAGGAGCCTCCCGCCAAACTAGTTGGGCAGCTTTGAGAGAAGTGCTGTTAGCACATTGCTAGATATAGGTTTCCTGGTCTTCTGCAGGAAACTGCATGATGACATTTGCATGAAATTACAACGTGCTGCCTTTATCAACAATTGGCTAGAGACCGAATTTTCCCACAAGAGAGTGGAAGAAATTTGTAATAGAGTATACACGGGAAGGTGCTCCAGAGCTCAGCTGTTGTGTTCCTCATTTAACCTCTTTGGGCAAGAAGGTAAACATTGTTTTTTTACTCAAAAATAACTTGTCTTTTTTTTTTTGGCAGATCCAAGTCAGTCTAAAAGTTGATAAAGTAAACTTCATGTTTACAGATGGGGCAAAGGGGGAGGTACTTTCACAGGCTGGACAATGCAAAAGACACTGCTAAAATTTGGGTGGTCTTCAGGGAAGTGGTCTTCTCTAGGCTGAAGCTGGGAATTTAGGAACACAGGCCCAAAGCTATGAATCCAAAGATGCCTGCCTAAATTCCTCAGACTTTTGACTGAAATTTCCCTAGGTCCTCTCTGCCTGCTTGGAGAGCTACAACTGCCACAGAGTGAGCAGTTTATATCACATGCAGATGCTTTTCTGCCTACATCTCCAGAAGGGCCAAAGGGCTGTTTTAGAACAGCCCAACTCTAAAAAAATGGGCTTTATGAAAAGCAATGATGCAGATCATCTGGGTAATTAGTACTAACCAAGAATTAATAGAAACAGGTTAATTTTACTTCTTCACTCAGGTTTCCATGGCACAAGGAAAAGCCTTGAAATGTTCACTAGACAAGAGAGGGCATGCACCTCTTTGCTTGCGTGCTTGGGTGTTTCCTCTGCACCCTGGTTTCTGCTGCCAGGATTGTTTATGTTCTTAACAATAGGAAGGGTGGAGTATTCTTCAAATTTTGTTTTGGTAATGAGGATGCTTCACTATCAACATATTTGCTCCTGGCTTCGGCAGTGGTGTTCAAAAATTTGCTGAGAAGTTTATGTAACTACACATTGGCATAACAAATAGCTTGCTACTGTATGGCCAGTATACATCCCTGTCTGTTCAAGTAGGAATAATCAGCCTAGAAAGAAGCAGAAAAGATACATCCTGGAGGTACTGATGCAAAATAATAGAACCAGTCAGGAAAAGCCCTTTCCTGTATAAAAACAGCAGCATGAGGGGCTAAGTTGCTTGGGAGATGGACTTCGCAACATTTCTCTTGTAAAGATATTTTGCACTGAAATGTATTGGGTTTTAACTTAAAGCACATTGCTTTAGAAATGCTTTGTGTTGCATGGGGAAAATTATAATTTCTGTGTTCAAGGAAATTTCATTTTTCTTATGTGTTGTGTCCCTTTAACTCCAAAATGCCACAGAAACACTTTGAGAAGTTTTCGTATGAGTGGTCATGAACAATAAGAAATTAACTTCTACCACCTATAGATTTTTCATGTGAGGACCCTGTATTTTCTGTCGCATCTCCTTTTCAAGGACAGACACATATCATTTCTGCCAATTCTCTCTTTCTTTGCTTACGAGAAATAAATGTGCGTTAAGGCACTTAAATGAGAAGAAGAGTAAGTATGCAATCGGAATTAGCATGCAGTATCAGGGAAAACAGGTTCCTTCTTGCTTTCCCTTTCTACATATAGAATTGCCTTAAAAACCAGGCTACCACTCTTCCAGCACCCACATCTTATTGACTGCCTCCTCCCTCTGACTGCATAATGTAACATACTACATCTATTAATTACGGTACCTTTAAGTGCAGCTTTTCATTCTTTGAGAAATTTTGCCTTGATTTCATCTTTAGCCTAAAACAAGCTCTACAGAGAGAACAAAGCATGAATAGCTATAGAAAAGGAGCATTTTTCACTTCACAGAGCCATGAAAACAATTTGTTATCTTTATAAGGCTTCTGGTATAGAGTGGTTTCTCCAGAAAGAGGCTCTTTTCCTGGGTAGCTCCTTGCTCACATATAACAACACTCCAGATTGTGTTAACAGATACTGAGCCATCATGCAAAACATTCCCTTCATCAGCCATAAAACCACAGCCCTGCTTGCTGCCTCTGCACAATTGCTAATGTTCTGTGCAAACAGTATGTCTGGGGCAGAACAACAGCTGTGATCTTCCTGGAACACTTCTTTTGATCTTATATTTTCTCTCCTTCCCACTCCAAGATCTTTTAAAAGTACCATTTCCATTTGTTGTTCAACATCTAGATGTTCTCCAAGCTACTCCGTCCATGTGGTGGCTCCTAAACTCTCACCAACAAATGATTAGAGATCATAAGCATGGCTTAACGATGTGGAATCATACCTACACATACTCCCTCCCCAAATATCCATTAAGAAAGTTCACTAAATCCTTTGGTTCCCTAGTAAGAAAGTTCCTTCTCCAGCCCACGCCCCTTCTCTCTCCACTGTTGCTTTGCATTTCTGGGGCAGCCCTGTAAATAGCTCACATGAAGCCACTGTACCTGGATATCACTCTGAAGACAGTCTGATGCTTTTTCTAAAGGCATGGACACCTCTGTATGCCAGATGTTTGCATTTAAAACCTGCTTCCAGCTCTTATGCTCTCTCTTTTTTGTGCTTGGTGGTTGGTTCTTTCCCTGTGGGTTGGGGTGGAGGTGCCTCCCTTCTGATGAGGAAGTTCATTAGCTCCTGTTGTCTCCCCGATGCTTTCTGAGGTCTGGACACACCTACAACATGCATACTGACCTACATTCATAGTAAACAACTTCTCAGATCCATTTTAGATCTTTCACCAACTAAAGGTGGAGCAAAACAAACTTTAACACGAAATAAAGTGCTGAGTTTTGTTTTCAGAAGGTTGTGAATAACAGCTAACAAGGGTGGAAGAAAAGAGAAATGATTACTGCAATGTGTCTTTCTTGTGGTAAGATGACTGCCTGCTTATGTCAGCCCTTCATATGAAGTACTACTGGACTTCAAGGTGAAACAAGTGTCTTAGAATGAAACACATGAACTTTTTATTTCAAGCTAGGTGAAAGGAAAGAAATGCCTGCACTCACCACATATCAGCCCCTTCATATATTCAGCAACTTGACTTTCCTGTCAATCTATCTTAGGCTAAGCCTTTTTTCTTGTGGGCTGAGTTAATTCCCATTGTTTGGCACTTGCTGCAAGCTAAGCTGCTTGCACAGACAATTTGCTGCACTTCAGTCATAGCAACTTCTTACATCCTGGTAACTTTTTGTGCCTGAGCCCCTGCTTCTCATGCAAAGTTCCTGCCTGTCTCATACCTGAATGAGATGCAGAGTGTGCTCTGCATCCTTGCAGTCCATGCAGGACACTGAGTAGTTCTTGTCCTAAAATAGGCTGAAAGCTAGAGCCACCGTGATCTGAGCACTTTCTTTCCACACTGTGTTGTGTATTTTCCCCTAAATAAAATATCTTTCTGGAACACAGGCCATAGTTACTTATGCCTGCAAACAGCCAAGAGTATATGCTTTGTTTTTCTTACATTTGTTCTGGTGTGCTGTCCAGAACATCCCTTGTTTGATGCTAAAATTTACATGGTTTTTTTTAATGGTATAATATTTTGAGAAAAGCTTGAGTACTTCACTGCTATCCACACAACAGCTTTACAGTTATTTCCCTAAAGAACTGAAAAGGGGTTCTTAAAAGCCCATTTTTTTTTTCAGATTACATTCTTCATGAAAAGACCAAGCTAAAACTTCATCCCAAATTCTTCTTACTGGAGTGGATTTAATGATCCACAGGAAAGGCATCAGACTGTACAAGAGAAAAGAATGAGACAGATCTTGTCCTACCATTGAACAGGAAGCTTGCAGGCTTTCTGGGGCTGCTGAGCTACTGCTCTGTTGGGAAATTATGATTGTTTATATGTTCTGACTCAGGGGTTCCTATCAAATCAATGAGGAGACATGAAGTACAGTGCAAACTGCTCATGTTTCCACAGGCACCATAGCTGTTTTACATTCCTTCTTCATACATGAAAATAATTACTAGCAATTTTATTTTAATAAACCCCTTGTTTGAATCCTTCACACCACAGCTCAGATTTCCAGATGTAGTTAGATGCCTGTGTAGTTTCTGTCACCCCGGTCTGTCACTAATCACGTTGTTACAAGAGGAAAGGGTTGGTACGATGACATACATTAAACTAGTTTGTAGAAGGAAATCCACAGCTGACTGATTCGAATACCACAACCTTTTGCTTACAGTAAGAACAAGTAAGTTGGACCACGGGAAACTCTCTTTTGGGAGAAATCAGATACATTGTGTGATAAGATGGAAAAACAATTCTTTCTAAGGAATTCCCATATGGTATGAGTATTGGGACCCCTTTCCAGATCCTGCTGTAGCCACGTGAATTAACAGATGTGAGCAAAACTGGCTATTTCAAACTCAGAATTCAGCACATTTCTACTATTTAGCAACCAACTGTGGGATAATTTAGGGCAGAGAGATATTTTGCAGTGTGACACAGCTAAGCAATCAACTGATTCATATTTCTCTTTTCCCTTTTTGCTCCCAGTAAGCTGCAGGCTTCACAATGGGCTCCATTTCTAGAATGATTACTGAGTTTTGCCTTGATCTCTACAATAAAGTCAACAGAACCACAGAATGCCAAAACATTGTCTTCTCTCCAATGAGCATCTCTACCTCTCTGGGCCTAATCCTTTTAGGGGCACGAAACAACACAGCCACTCAGATAGAAAATGTAAGTACTGCTGAAATGTTCTGAGATGCTTCCACACAGCTTGCTGTTTCCCCAGTGGCAACACTGGGCTTTGCAGCACAACATGTGCACTTAGGAAACAAGGATAAACACAAGCTCAGCTGCTGCCTTGAGAACAGTGTTTGGTGTGCTGTGATATCCCTGCTCCTTTATCACTTGTCACATTCAAATGATACAAAATGTCTCACCTACAGAACACACAGGGCCTGGGGGTACAGGGAGGGCATGCAGAAGTCTGTTCCTCTGGTCACTACACCTTTTACTCCCTGCAGCGTAAGCTGCATGTTCTGAGATCTTTATTGCTTTTCTTATTTGTTTCTGAGAGCAATAAGCGACCAATACTCCTAAGGTACATGCAGCATAAGACAGTAGCCAGCTCCAGCTGTATCCTGGTGGATCTTCATCCATCATGTTACAATACTGCCATAGGTCAGCTGCTGCCAAGAGAGATGCATTCTCCTTATGCAGTTCTGAGGGACTCTTGCTTAGTTTAGGAAAGCCATGGAGATCAAGCACTCTCAAAAAAAGAGCTTAAGTGTTTGTATGCTTCAACAATATCACTATGGAGAAGCATTCCAAAATTTTTCAGTGAGATATCTGCACATTGGAAACAAGGTTCAATTTCCATTAAGAGCACTATGACTTTGATACGTTTCCTGAGCTAATACAAATATTAAGAATGATCGCATAAAGCTAGTTTTGATGCTTGCAAGCAAAATATTTTTGCCTCTTTGCCTGAGGCAAATTTTCATTTTGAAATTTAAGGCAACTATATCAATAAAAATACAAATCAAATACAAAAATTATTGAGGTACTGGAAAGTAGCATTATGGGGGACTAGAAGTTTTTCTTCATTCACTAATATAGAAATGTGAATTTGAACATGGATATCGGACAAATTCAATTCTGACCTTCCAGTCTGACTGCAGCTGAGAAAGTATGAAGGGAAAATACACAAAGAGAGCTTATAGGCAGGAGGAGGACCTTTTTTTACCAACTTTTTACAGTCTGATAGTGGTGGAACAAGGGAGAATGGCTTCAAGCTAAAAGAGAGGAAACTTAGGTGAGATGTTAGGCATATATTTTTCACACAGAGGGTGGTGAGGCACTGGCACAGGCTTCCAGAGAAGCTGTGGTGCCCCATCCCTAGATGCTCCAAGCCAGGTTGGATGGGGCCCCGGGCAGCCCGAGCTGGTGGTGGCAGCCTTGCCTACAGCACTAGGTTGGGACTGGGTGGGCTTTGAGGTCCCTTCCAACCCAAACCTTTCTATGACATCTTTAATAAATCTACATCATTTATCCAGTAAATCCAGTAAATCTTTCAAACAAGGAGAACACCTTTATCCCAGTTAAAGAGTTTGACCTCTTCAACTGCAGGTTCTCCACGTCAGCAATGCTACAGGAACTACAAGCCTTGAATCTGAACTTGAAGGTGCAGTCCCAGAAAACAAGTCTGACCTAAGCCAGGAAAGAGAATCTTCCTCCTCTCTGGTATGTCTTCCGTAGTACAAGAGCCCTTCTTTCACTCCACCATAGCCTTCTAGTTGTAAAGCACCACAGTCTGCCACTGGAGGGAGTCAAGATCCCATGCACAACGTCTGCCTGGTCCGCCGTGCCTCATAGAAGGTGTTATCTTGTTATCGGCCAAGTCTCCCATACAGTCAAGTCCGAAGCCCACACCAGAAGGAAGATCAGGCTACAAAGCTTAGATTAACTGAATTTAAATATAATTACAATGGGAGCTAGCCCTACATTGCAATCTAATGAGGATGCAAATTAACAACCAAAGCTGTACTGAGGAATCTTTGTAACTGGTGTATTTGAAATATTCCTAGTGTAACACAGATGGGAATCTTAACCACGAAGCATTCCATGCACTGCTTTTACAACTACAAAACCTTGGTAAAGACTACGTTTTAAGCCTGGCTAACAACCTCTTTATCCAACAAGGATTTGAACCAAATCAGGTAAGAGAACTGTACCTTGTAACCTCTGTGGCACTGACCCCCAGCTTTCCAGTAAGCATATGCACCACTCTTGTCCCTTCACGTGTATTGTTGAGTTTTGGAGGTGCTTCTTGGAGCTGCATCTCTTGCGGTTGCTGGGAAAGAGACACAAGTGTCAGCTTTAATTATTTATGTTTTTTTTTTAAAAAAAAAAAAAAAAAAAAAAAAGACCTTTCACTTTTGACATGTCTACATTCAGCCAGAAGCGTGGTTATAGCAAAAAATGGCCTATTCAAGCTGTCTGCAAGCTGCCTCTGGGATCTCTCTCTATTTACAGCTTTGCATTGCTGGTTTTCTTTCCCTCTTTTGTTTTATTCAGTCAAGACCACCCTCATAATTTCTGAAACGTTTCTGAATTGTTGACTTCACTGTAAAGAGAATAAGCTTTGAACAGGTTTGGCTAATCCACAATCTTTATTCTGCTTTACAGAAGTATCTAACGTGCAGTAAGGAACTATACAGAGCAGCCCTTGAAACACTGGACTTTCAAAGGGCTCTTGAAGCAAGCAGGCTAAAAATTAATGATTGGGTTGAAAGCGAGACACAAGGTAAAACAAAGCAGAACTGTAGCTGTGCTATCTTTTCCCTCTTCCAGTGCTCCTTCAAAAAGAATTCAGCATACGATAAGCCTTGTTCATGTTTCTAGGTTTCTTATGCCTTTCAAAGATTGCTTTTCCCATTCATTCCTTAGAGTCATCTATCAGCTAAACTATTTTGTTGTTGCATACGGCCATACTCCTACACACACATCTAGCAAGATAGCTGCAACAGTACCTTTAAAGGTTAATTAGATTAATTGCTTTTGCAAATAGCCAACGCTGCAGGTACGGGAAAGTGGGGGATGGAAGTTATGAGCTTCACAGTGGGTCTGGGAACAGCACAGCAGAGAGAGCAGACACCTCAGGACCTGGTCACACACAGAGCAATGTTAACGAAGATGAGCGATGTGCCCTCTAGCGAAATTCACTATTACAAGTAACAACCAGCCAGCTCTTGCCCTTTGCAGGCACATAGGGGTCATTGGCTTTTTTCCCTGATTAAACTGAACATGAAATATGCCACTTCAATTTTGTCAGAGCTGCAACATCAGCAGGGTGAAAATCTTATAAATTTTCCATGTGAACTTCAGCCAGAACTTAGTGAGAGATGGATGAATAGATTTGAAGGCTCCTGATTTCTCAGCGGTCATATCCTGACCAAACCTATCCTTGGGCTGACAGAGCAGCTTGTGACTAACATGGGAAAGAGCTGAAACCACCATTGCTGTGTGCCTGTTTAAAGCCTCTGCACTTGGGAAATCCTACCTCAACCTCTGTACAGGAAAAAAACTGTAAAGGGACAGACGTCCTCACGTAAACTGAAACAGAGGATTAATGGTGCTGCCCTTTTCACTGTGGACAGGTGCCACCTGGCACATTCGTTTTGCCACTGTTGGCTAATTTGATGACCCTGTGCCCCTTCCTCTCCCAAACAGGCCAGTACTAGGTAACAGTGCTGAGAAATTTCCCATTTCTTCACTTGTATTGTCCCTGATCTGTGAAGAAACAAAGAGTTGGATTTCTATTGTACTTTAAAGCTAAGTTCACAGACAAGTAATTGAGTCTCAATCCAGAGTCTTAATAACAACTAATAAATACCTCTGTTTTCCAAAATTTCCTCCAGGTAAAATCAAGGAACTTTTTGCTCCAGGAGTGATTGACTCACACGCCATTCTGGTGCTGGTGAATGTGATCTACTTCAAAGCATCCTGGGAACACAAGTTTGAGGAGAAAAATACAGTACAGAGAGATTTTAAATTGAATCAGGTACATATGCATTCTGTAAGTCTTAGCATGATTTACCCTAGAATAAACATAATACAGAAATGCAAAATTGAGGGCTTTCAGCTGTGCTATGAGAAAGGCATGGGTGTGCTGGGAAGTAAACCTTTTCCTCCTGTTGGGTAGAGATAGCAGGAAAGCTTTTCCAAGAAAACCATAATCCTTACTGGAAAGGAAATGTGTAAGTCTCAGAAGCTGCAACAATTCAGCATTTTGTTTCAGTAGCTGGCAAAACCCAAAGCATTAGCCCTGATCAGCACTTTTGAACCTAACAGTCACTAAGGGCAGTTGTCATGGATAGAAGCCAACTGCAAAGATCTAATTTCACATAGGCCCTATGGGGCCATCCTGGATTTTATGCATCCCATACATTTTAGCATGAGCTTTGCAAACGATGGGTTAATCCAAACCAACCAAAAAATGAAGCCAGATATTAACAAGCCACATGCACGAAAATGGAATTTCAAACAGGAAAAATCCTCACAGAGTATTTTGGTTTATTCCTAGTATTTGCAATGCTTAAAATATATATTTTTTAATGTTTTAATTTTGATTCCTTTTTCCTACCATACTTATAAAATTGAAGTTCTCATTGCTTAAGCAAGATACAGTCAACATAGCTGCAAAAAGTTCTTTAACAACCACATTAATCCAAGCTCTGTACAGCTTAAGTCTAACAAATATCCTCAAAAAAGATGATCAAAACCGTTTTATTTCATTTAATACAGTTTTGTCTTCATTCCATATGCTTTGCCTATGTTACATTAAAGAATGAAGCCACCAAATAAAATGAACCCACAAAGAATACAGATTTAGCTCTGATCTGAAGTTGAAGAGCTCTGTATAGGAAAAACTGACTTCTAAGTGTTTCTTATCTATCAAAAGAAAAGGTCAGAAAGACATGTTGCTAGTTACAGTGTTGTATGACAATTATTTAAGACACAGGTAAGAAAGTGTAATTTTGGTCCCTTCAGTTTTTGACTTCAAATATATGTCTTTGAATATGAACACTGAAAATGGACTATAGGTAGGAACACTTGGAGCACTGCTGCAGGCACAGAAACTGAGATAGGAAGAATCTGCATATACTTTTCTCCATGCACTTATTAATGCTGTTCTCTACTAAAATTCTCCTGCTGATTTAGCAAGTAAGAAGTTAGCTAACAGCGAAATGAATCTTGAGCACCTACACAAGATTTGAACAAACTTACCACAAAGCAAAGCAAGGATTAGAAGACCTAGAAGAACATGCCTGAGATAGAGTGGTTATCATTTTGCTCTTACTCTCTCTATTGCTTCCTGCCTGAAACATCTACCTGATAAATGACAACCTGATTACTGCAGTCCTACTACTACTTTATTCCATTCCAAACCAGAGAATGCAAATTTCATCAGCACCAGTTTGTTTGGCTGCAGAGCAATGGCATTAAACCATTTCACTATCTGATTAGTTGCAGGGAAATTTGTTTTATTTTGTCCACCAGAGAATTATCCCCTTTACACATGAATGGCAAAACTTATGCTCTATGTCTCACTGTATGAGCAACAAAATTAAGAAAAACATTTAGCTTTATAACAATTACTGCTGATACCACACCTGAAGTGTAAACATTAAGGACTGTATTGCTTGTGTGATCATACCAATTTCTTTTAAATAGAATGCGAGAAAGCCAGTGCAGATGATGTATCAGAAAGGCATGTTTAAATTAGGCTATATCGAGGAGCTGGGAACTCAGGTGCTTGAACTCCCTTATGCTCAGAAGTCGCTGAGCATGATCATCCTGCTGCCAGGAGACACGGCAGATGGATCTACCAGTGGGCTGGAACAGGTAAGGCTCAGGACTGTGGCTACGACAGACTGAAAGCTGGTTGTCTGAGTTGAAGCCGGGCAAAAATCTAAACTTGTTAATTTCCCCATCTTCTAGACTGAAAGCACAATGACCTATGAGAATTTAATGCTGTGGTTCTCTTCTGAACACATGTTTGAGACAACGGTAGAGGTGTACCTGCCCCGATTCAAGCTTGAAGACACCTTTAACCTCAATGAGGTACTAAAAGCAATGGGAATGACCGACATCTTCACTGAATCCAAAGCTGATCTTTCTGCACTGTCATCTGGGGAATCCCTGGTGTTGTCAAACATTGTCCATAAGGCTTATGTGGAAGTCAATGAGGAGGGCACTACAGCAGCAGCTGCTACAGGAGCTACCATTGTGAGGAGATCCCTCCCCCTCATAGAGGTGTTTATGGCTGACCATCCTTTCTTATTCTTTATTAGGCACAACCCCACTAATGCCATTCTTTTCTTTGGTAAATTCTGCTCACCTTAAAAATCAGGGCCATCTTCTAGCATTGAGATAAAAACCTGGATGAGAAGCAGAAATACTATTTTTCCCCCTACACCTTCTTAATCCTATGAATGATTGTAGACCAAAGTAATCATTGCAACCAATTTAGCTTAGAACCATCAATTGAACACGCTCCTGTTATGAGGCCTCCTTGAAAGGCAAATATTGATCTGAATCCAAAACAGGAGTATGTTTTCCTTTAACCTGACTGGATATCAAGAACATTTTGTTTCCTCAAGGCGTACATACACTCCTGTATAGCCTACAGTTCTCTAGCACAGCCATGTAATGTAGTACACTATTTGCCTGGCAAAGATGGAATTTGTGTGCTGCTACTTGAGGAGAACCGTTTGTAACAATTTTCAGTAAGTGTCAGTAAAACTGGAGTATTTTTACTTTTTCTGGAGTTTTTGACTTCCTGCCAGGTGGGTCTAGCAGAAAGGGGCTTTGGAGATGCTATAATGTGCTTACACATACTCTATTTGTGGCAAATCCTTTGCACAGTGGAGATCTCACTTTAATAACTCTCTTTCCAGTAGCAGCAGTCGCAAGCAAGCAGAAAATATTTATAGCAAATTCATGTATTCACTAATAACTGTACAACTTTCCCCCTCCCCCATGATGTATGCTGGATCTATCCTTGTGCTACATAAAATGTTTATGCTAGAAGCAGCTTTGGTTTCATTTGTTTATTTAGATATAAGCCTGCATCTGCAGTACCATCTCATTCATCAAGTGGAAGATGGATAGAATATGACATGTACCCCCTTCACAAGCTCTTGATTTTTTCCACAAGTTTTGTTCTCAGTACTCAGTTTTGAGCACTGTATTTTTTTTTATGGTAGCAACAGTAAGAACACTCAATATTATGCCTCATGAACACACCTAGTAAGAGAGTTGATTACAACAGCAATGGAGTATGTGGGAAGGCAAGATTTTGACCCTCTTTTTACAGGACTTCTTGGCATTCGTTTTTGAAAAATAAACCCACCCTTAAAGAATCACAGCATGGTTGATGTTGCAAGGGACCTCAGGAGGACATTTTGCCTAACTCACCTGCTCAGGTAGAGTTACCTACAGCACACTGCCCAGGATCACATCCAGAGGACTTTTGAGAATCTCCAAGCACGGAGACTTCACAACCTCTCTGGACAGCCTTTTCTAAGTTCCCACAGTTTTGAACAACACCAAAGAGAATTTTGTATTCATGATGTCTGCAGGAATGGGATGTGAAAGCATTTCTTTCTAAAGATTAATTACTTACATAGTGGAGAAATCAGTTTTCTTCCTTGAGTTCTGCTTTCCAGTGAAGCTTAACAATCTGAGATGTTTTATACAGGTACACATGTCTCTCCAGTCCTGAGGAATGAAAAAAAAGTTTTGAGAAGGGCAATGTAAGCAATAGAAATCAGTCAAACATTATATGGAAAAATGTTTTTGTCTGTGAGACAATCAGAGAAAAACAGAATTAGCAGCTGACTGATAGACATAACTGTTAAGCTGCTGGTTTAACATGAGCAATATCTCCTTCATGGAGTTCTATGTGAGGTTTAACTAACATTTGCAACTTGTGTTTTGTGACCTACAGAAAGACAAGTATACATTAGCCATTAGTCATATAATTGAGTGTAAAGCTCCATAAAGTAATTAGTAATTAGCACAGTTTATGTACCAAAAGTTACCTGGGGCTCTTTGGATAAGAAAGTCTAGGCATGATGTTCAAGCAAGAACAGGCAGGAGTAGGACAACAACATTCAAACAACTTGCTCTTATTGTCTGATCTGAAGGCACCGTACAACATAAGCAGTACTTCACCAAATTGTGACCATGTTTCCATTCTGAAGGCTGACAGCACAGACTGCCTACTAAGCTATGTTTTCATTACCTCCAGGTGTCATTAGTTGGTATTTACATATCCTGGGGAAGTTCTGAGTACCACAACTTCAAACATCAATCCTACTTCTGCAACAACAGGAATAGAGATTTCTGTGATGGAGAGTTGAATAATGCAATGTATTGCTCAAGTTGTTGGAGGAGATGGTTCATGATATATCTAGAGTGAAATTCAGACACAAACGTTGTTCAGCTAGTTTATTACAAATTCTAAGCAGTTAAGGAATGTGGGAAAGATGGCAAAGTTAGCAACAATAAAGGTAGGAATTCTAACAAACTGGCTATAGAGGAGGAATAGTCACCACTATGGATCTAGCAGTGCACCTCATTGGCCTGCAGGCCAGTCAGAGACATCTCACTGATCTGCACAGCAGCAGTTCAATGGAGAACCTTCTGTGTTCTACCACTGAACTCCTCAGGTTTTATCCTCTTCATTCTGCTCTCATGCACCTCCAGTTGCTCAGAACCAATGGCACATTCACCTCCTCTGGGTGAGCAGCTGCTGATTGTGTAGCAATCACACACCTGCCACCTGGAAGGCGGTTGGGCATGTGTACTGACTTAATGGAAGGGAACTTTCAAGGACATCTAGTCCACCTCCCTTCCACTGAACAGGTACCTACAGTTAGATCAAGTTATTCAGAGCCCCATTCAGCCTCCTCAGTGTCTCAGGGGAAAGGGCTTCTACCACATCTCAGAGCAGCATGTTCCAGTGCCTCGCAATCCTGACTGTAAAGGAGTTTTTCTTTATACCCAAGCCAAATATCCATTCTTTTAGTTTGAAGTTATTTCCTCTTGCCCTATTACAACAGACCTTACTAAGGAATCCATCTCCTTCCTTCTGGGAGTTCCCTTTGGATACTGAAAGGCCCTTCTCTGGTCACCAGACTAAGCAGCATCAGCTCTCAGCCCATCCTCATAAAATAAGCATTTGTACAATCAACAAATACACAATTAGCAGAGTGGCATGGCTAGGTTAATATTTTACAGATCATATAACTTGAAGGATCATCACAGTAGAAAGAGATAACTGAAAGTAAATGAAAATGCTTACCTGTCTCCTAGGCTTGCAAAAACACTCCAAAAGGAGGAATTTCCAGAAAGAAGCATTCCTTGCTGGCAGTCAGCCTTAAATGGGCTCTAGGAGAGGTGCAGCCAGGCTCTACCCCTTCTGGTCACACAGCTGAATTGCCTTCACCTGTGCTCCTGCAGCTGACTCAGTGCTTGCTTCAGGTGATCAATCAGTGGTTCAAGCTGTGATTCAACAGTTCCCATACCGCATTCCATCCCTTGAATCATTTTTGTGGCCCTCTGCTGGACTCGCTCCAACAGGTCCACATCTCCTCAGTATTGAGGACTCCACATCTAAATGCAGTACTGCAGGTGAGGCCTCACCAGCATAGAGCAAAGGGCAGGATTACCTGCCTTGCTGTGCTGCTTTTGAGGCAGCCTGGGATATGGATGGCTTTCTGGGCTGCTGGAGCACGCTACTGACTCATGTCTGGATGCCATCTGACAGTACCCCTAAATCCTTTCTCTTGATAAAGTACACTCATTTTCAAATAGCATTATAATCACTTCTAGAGGGCATTACATCACTGTATTCAGAGGGTTTCTGAAAAACAGACTCAGAAATCAGATATTCTAACTGTATTTTTCCACGTATACGTATCGGAGAACTTGTGAAAAACATGTTTAATGTACAGAACTACAGATAAATTCAGAAAGGAGAAGCAACACTCGAAGTAAGGATGTGGCAATCCTAAATAGGATGTAAGCTGGCTTGAAGCATATACCTCCAAAAAGCCATCTGAAAGAAAATTTCTCATTTACCATGCATGTGCAAGTTTCCAAATTCTGCAGGTATTTTATTTTCTCCTTTTCAAATTCCCTTGCAGACGGCATTTTGCTTTGCTTGCTCTGAACTGTGTTGATGTGAGCAGTGAGGTGCTTTTCCCAAGCTAAAATGCAAGAATAAGATTGAAGCACAGGCCTCTGCAGAACATCGAGTGAATGCATTTAAAGCACACCAAGAACAAGCTCTTCAAATACTGCTCCCTGAAAATGCCATCAGAGCAGAATTCATGCTTTCAAGAGGGAGTGGTACATAACTTCTGTAGTGGAGAAATCATGTGGCTCAGGGGGTGAAAGGCCTATCTTCAGTGAATCCCATATTCTTATTGCAACAAGAATATGATGAGCCTGCATCTTCCAGTACTGTCAGACTCTAGGTTTTAGCATAAGATCAGTGGAAAAAAATATATACAAATATAACCCTTGCTTCTGTAGCTCTGCTCTAATTGGGATGATTGCAAATTAATGAAAAAAATGGGAAATTCAAAGACTGATGATAACTCAGCAGTTAAACAACTAGGACACCTAGTAGGTGAGTTCTGGCTTCCAGTCTCTGCTGCTAGGATTATTCTTGTTTTAATGTTTAAGAGAAAACAAGTATTCAGATGTGGGTGAATATCCTGGCAATAATGACAGAGAACTATTCTGCTCTATAGCTTTCTGATAGCATGAATCTTGCCTTAATTCCCTAGTCTTCTCTTAGTACCATGTTCCCCAACTCCTGTTGTCTAAATTAAGCAATCACTGTGTGACATCTACATCAGAACTTAGCTCCGTTACACTCAATGTAATCAGTTGCTGGTCTTCTGTGGAAAATGTACTACTGTGCCCTGAGCAGTGCTGAGCACAGCACCCGTTTGCCTAAAATTAACACAGAACTCAGAACACAACCAGCCTCAAGACACTCAGCAGAAGGAATGTTATAAAAAAAGCAGGTTCTGCTCCTGAAGGAAGCATAATAGCTTCCAGAGCTGGAAGACAAGAAGATGTGCATTGGTAGTGTGTGGTGCTCATTTCCTTGTTCATGAATGATGAGGAATGGGAATGATTCTGGAAGACACACCCAGAGGCCTCTGTTGTATACCCCATGCCTCCAGCCTGGGCAACTCCTCCTTGCTGTCTTTTTGACTTGTTTTATGCAAGCCATCCATCCAGAGGTGCAGAGTGAAAACAACCATGGAGTTCAAGAACAGCCTCATCAGCCCCGTACACATTTCAAACCCAGGGCAAAACATCAGAGCCTCAGGCTCACTGCACAGCTCTTCTGAAAACTGCGATGAAGAGCTAGGGGTTCGAGGAAAAACATGCTGTAATTATCAGTGCAGCTCCATCATCTGTTCTAGGAACATCGAGGCTTCCTGAAGAAAACATTATCAGAACAGACACAAATTATTCAGTGGGAGGCAGAAGTGCCCCTCTGAATGCTCTGAGTCAGATGCTTATTTTGTGAATTTTTCTGTTTCCCTCTTCCTGTTATGCTTCCTGCAGATACTTGGCACATCCTAGACATGATTCAGCAGTGTATGCTCATGAGATGCAGCCACATCTACAGAGTGCCTCCTCCTTGAGAGGAAAAAAATATTTGTTTTAGAGGGTAAAACCAGAATAGCTAGGATAGTACCTCCTCCTCTGTTGTGGGACAAGAGAAGCTAGGCTCCTGGTAACCTATCTGTCAGCCCTTCATTTCTCTATGCATGCCCTCTCCTCAGAAAAACCTGTGAAGGGAACTTGACTCTGCAGCAGTGGTTTCCACTTAAGTCAGAGCAGAACATGATCCTCCATCAGCAAAGAAGCAGTCAGAGCCAGCTCAGCCCAGCAGAAGACAGCTTGTTCAGCCCTCATTCTCCTTGGGGTAGCATCAGGACTAATAGGAGATCTGGAACAGGAGCAGAACACATTGTAGTGATGCACAAAGGCTGTGAGACCTCATGGGAATGGCCTCCACATTTCATGCTTGCAGAAATACCAGGATGGAGGAAGCCAAATTTTCTGCTCCAGTGAATGACCTTACCCAACAGCAGGAAGGGGTTTGGTAATTCCTTTCTCTTAGAAGGCAAAATGAGATAAATGGCCAGGCAGATATCTTAGAACTGCGGACAGGATATGAAATTGCCACCTCCACCTCAGGAGGCAGTGGGAGGCCTTCCCACATTATAGTTTGGCTAAGACTTCAAAATGCAATTTGCTGGTCTCTCTGTTGTTTGTTTTTATACATTGTACTTCATATTTTATGCAATATGCAAAGGGAAAATGTTTTTACACAATCTACTTCAAGTATGTTGGAAAGTCATATTCTTCATAAAGAATGAAACAAAAGAGGCAGGCAGCAGCTACAAGGCTCAAAGTTTACCTTTCCAAACATACTCATGGGACACCTGCAGCATCCATGAAGCTCCTGTGCAACCTTGATGCCTTCTCTATGTGTTCTTTCCTATGATCACATAGATTTACACTGCATTTACATTGCAGGTGCTTCATCTTCATGAGGCACTTGGCACAGGCAGTCCAGGAACCGAGAGCTCCACTGGGAAGATGAGATGATACCTAAAAAATAGAACAGTTGGGAGGGACGTTCAGAGATCACTTCGTCCAACTGCCTCACAGCTTCAAGGCTAACCAAAACTTAAAACATATTAATGGGGGCACTGACAGACACGGGACATCAATCACCTCTGTAGGAAGCCTATTCCAGTGTTTGACCACTCTCACAGTAAAGAATTTTTTTCCAATGTCTAGTCTAAAAGTGTGTGATAACATGGAACTGCAGCATGAAGCAAAGCTAAATGGCAGCCCTTGCCATGGCTCATATGGTCCAATGCCTCTGAAAGGGGCGATCATTCTTCCCTTGTCTCCTTCCCTTTGTGTTGCTCTGTTCTTTTTTTCCCTTACATTGACACTATTACTTGGTAATGAGAAATTAACTGGGACATAAAGAGAAAAAAATCTGGTAAATATACTGATGACCTCGTCCCATAAACTACCTTCCAGATGTGGATAAGTGGTTTAAAGGCACAGCAAAGAGGTTGCAGAAAAGAAAGGACCACATCTAATTTAGTTGCAACCAACATCCAGCATTCAGAGACTCATGAGAAATACCTTTTAATTTATTGATTTATATTTTTTTAAGAAAAAAAATCCTTTGATGACTCACCCTGCTTTTTCTATTACTCTCAGCTGGGAAGAAAGTAACCGCTGGGTACATACATACATACTGCTATTTCAGAACTGCAGACTTGAAGAGCTTTCCCAAGTGCTGAGATATGCAGGAAAAAAATCGTAAATTACAGTGCGAGGCATTTAATTTTGATTGCTAAATAAAGAAAACTCATGACAGTCTATGACTATGACTAGCAGGGCTGCAATTTCAGATGAAATACAGCCTGAATTAGGAGAGTTACTGCCAGAGGCAAAGTTAGCACATCAATTAGGTGGTAGAAGAAGGCAACACCAAACACAGGCTGTGAATCGTTCTGATGAACAGAGTATGTAAAAAACAGCCATGTGTGTTTTTCAGTGAATACCACTGTATATGTCTGGTTTGAGTCAAATATGTATTAGAACAAAACAAACAGTGAAATAAATAGTGCTAGCATATATTAGCTTGTATAATCAGACTTATCCATTTTTCAGATAAATCTTCAGAGAAAGCAACATTTATAGTATGTATGATAAGGACAAGAACTGTAAAATATCATCTTGAAGAATGCCAGTCTGATAACAGGAAAAGGAATTCAACATGTGAATGAAGGAGCAAGTGTGACTGAAACAAATGTCACTCAGCTTACTACAGCAGAAGCAATCATTTATGATCTCAGATTTTTTAAACTTGCTTCAGAGATATCTAGGTAATCTCAAAAACAGGAATAAAATACAAACACAAAGAAAAATTCTATTTTCTCTTCACGTAATCTTTTCTTTTTCTAGCTGCATTCTTAGTTAAAAACAACAACCAAGAGTTTAAACAATATTTAAATGTTTACTGCTGGCTTTATAACATCAAACTGAGTTGTTGCTGGAGATGACCAGCTATCAAGGTGCGTAACGGACTGCTAGATGTGCTTGGCCTCCTCTTACCCCAGGTTGCTGTGCAAACACAATACACATTGCCATACAAGCTACTATGAGCTCTGAAGGGCAGCTTAGACATTAATTCTACTCCGGGCCAGACACACTGACTATCTGAGTGGTTTATAACAAGGTGCTGGTTGACTTCAAAGTGGTTCCAAGTCAACCACTGCCAACTGCCTAAGACTGTATCATCTCCAGCACAACAAATAACATGGGAGCAAAAAGCATCCGAAATTCTGTAAATTAGGCTGTTCTAGCCACACCTTGGTTCATTAAAGGACTTTGAGAGATGCCAGAATAATCTCTGCTCAATGTGATGCAGATGGACAAGCTATGGCAGGAACGGGTCCAAGGCATAAGAAAACATCACCCTCAAGCACTACACAGGAGCTGCTGAGCAACCACAGGAAATGAAAGGTGAAAGTCTGAACAGATAAATGTTGGAAAGAGCTGCATTTCTACTGCTTACTGTGTCCTTGATTTGCCAACAATAAGAAGGAATGGCAAACCCCATGAATTGGTTTAGGAACAGCTTCACAATGGACTTCCTGACAGAGGAAAAGGGCAGCAGAGTCCTTGCTGACCTCTTTCTGGGACAAACACAGATCTGGAACAGAGTTTAACCAATTTGTCTTGCTTGCATTCATGACTCTTGAATTTCAAGAGGTGCCTCTGATTTCCCCTGGCCTAACACCCTATCTAAAATTACAAAACCACATTTTGTGTGCTGAGGACTGTGCAAAATTGTTGTGGTGATTGTGCTATTGCAGAGGTAGAGTACACAAAGAAGGCAAACATACTGAATGAGAGAACATACCAAAAACACCTTCATGTCCTCTTCTAGAGGAGACAGTAAAGCAAAATGTTTATTGAGAAAATCTTGGATGTTAGTCCAAGAGATGAAAACACTATTCATATGTGCAGGGCTGGCTGTGTTTTACAGGTGCATGCTCCATAGACGCCCACAGAGGACAAGGACATTGAAACCAAGCATACAAAGGACTGTGGGTACCCAGGAAAGTTCTTCAAGGAAGCCTTGAAGGCATGTTTGAGTACCCACCAGACTTGTAGCTGAGACCCTGATGTAAACATGTGAAAATGGGAGCGTAAGAGAAGACACTACACACTGTAACAAAACTTAAGCTCTCAGGCAGGAAAAGTTTGACAAGATAAAGTAAAAGCTATTGAAAAAGGAACATTAAACAAGATAGGAGGAAAGCTGCTTACTATCTGTAGATTTTCCTACCCCTCATGTAACTACTGTAACATCGACAGATAAAAAAATACTCATTCTGAGCGTAGAAACACTCCAGTTATCATGGTCTGCACATGCATACATGGCTAAATTTCAGCAACACAAAACACGCTGCTTGGGATAAAGGAGCACCCTTTCACCTTTACCAGTGGGTACCACAACCACTGCATGTTGTCTGCCTTAATGTACAAAAATTTGGGATTTTATTATTCATTCCCTTGGCCTTTACAGAAGCCGGATTTTCTTCTTTAGTGCTCATCAAGGGTATTATTCAATAAAGAGTAATAGCTTTTTAGAATTGTGTTATATTTGATATTGTGCATTATGATTGTCTAACAGACCATGAATGTTCCTTCAGACAGATTTGGTAGTTTATTTACCTGTCATAGTAAAATAGGAGGTACAGAAGATCTATGGGAATAGCTTGTGCATGTACAATGGGCCTTGTTGCCATGACCTATGAAGAATGAAAATCAAAACCTGACCACCAACCATCCCTTGAATTCCACTAGGCTGTTCAGCATTCACTTCTGAATATCTGAATACTCTGGGCTCTGCCTTCACAAGGCAACAAACACTTTCAGACTGTTCCCCAAATCTCTTCCTCTTCCCCATCCACACTGAGTTCTCTAATTCATCCCAACACCTCTGCTCTGAAGTTTCAACAAAATGTGCATTCTCCTCTCACATGTATGCAGCACAGCCTTTGGCTTACATCAGATATAGTCTGACTTTCATTGAAAAGCTTTGATCTTGTCTAGGTGCAGAAACAGATGGAGCTGAGCTTTTAACAAGTACTAACTATAAGCTTCTCCAGTCCTCAAACTCTTTTGGCAGACCAAAACATTTTTCAGTATGATTTTATTCTTTAAAAAAACTCATAAAGCTTTGCTTTTATTACATGGAAAGCAATGTATTACAAAATCCTCTGAATAGAATGACCATCCTGCAGCTGGCTCTGCTTGGAACTGCATTATTTTCTCTACATTCACGAGAAGCATCCTTATGTTTCTCTGCATGCTGTAGTGAGAGATCACATATATATCACACTTTTCCCTTCATCCATCTTGGGAGCAGTGCTACAGTAAATTCTGTAATTACAGTGCCCCAGAGATGAGAAGAAACTAAACAGCTGGAAAGGAGATACAGTCTTAAAAAGAAGAATGGTTTCCAGGGATTGATGGACTTTCTTGCACTCCTTGGTAATATGGGACTACTCTTGACTCAGCTTTAGCAGTGGGTGCTCATTAAATGGTGAATGGTGATGGGTCTTCTTGTTCTCCAATCACGTCTAATTTTCTCGTAATATTTTGGGATCCTTAGATTCATCTGACTGGGAGAATCCCTTGATTTGATATATATATATTTTTTTAAATCTGATTTTAGAGCTAAGTTTATTTGAAGCGTATTATGTTTATTCTTTTTTTTTTAAGAGTATTTTTTTTAATTTTCATGTGTGTGTATTCATTATTCGTTTGGTTCTAACTATCGATTTGGCTCAATCAAATTAAAGTTTAAATTCTGAAGTAGAGCACATGTAGAGACATGTTAGACTTGAACTTTGTACATTGATACAAGAAAAGCCTGAATAATTACATTCTTCTATGAGGTTTTACTTCACAAAATAAATTTGGCTTTCTCCAAAGAGAGTACCAGTCTAATGTTGGCCTACTCAGTGGTTTCAAGCACAATGAATCAAAAGGCAATGACAAGGGTAGTAACTCAAAGGATGACTCTTAGAAGGCTAACAGGGGGAGTGTCCGAAAGGGTACTGTATATATCACCAAGGACTCAGAGAATCTGTTTAGGTTCAACTGGCAAGCTGGATTATTACACGCCTCTTTGATGTTTTTCTGTAAGTACTTCTCCAAATAAAATATAACTTCTAAGTTGTATTCTTGAATAGGGAAAGAAAAAAATCACTACAAAAACCCCACAGAAATATTATGTGAACTTAAAGGAAAAAAAGGGCTGCTTTCTATTTTATGATGTCGGCCCATGACATCAGAGGCAGATGTTGGTGGTATGGCAGTAGAGGCTGAACCTTCCCACCAGCATCCCATTACATGTTGTTGCTGTGTGACAGATGGGAACAGAGGGGCAGGTCTGACAGAATGGTGTCTGACATGGAAGTGCAACTGAAGCAAAGTGTGTCATTGAATTCCTCCTTGTGGAAAAAATGGCATCCATTGACATTCATCGATGCTTGCTGAATGTTTAT